AAGAAGAGGGGCCTGAAAACTGACGGCTCTGCCTCCCATTCTACTTTTAAATATTTTAGAAACCAAAAGTAAGCCTGCAGTCAAAGTGGTTGTATCGGGGTCATACAGTACTATGAGGTCTTTAAGATAAGATGGGGGCTGATTTTTTCAAGACCTTATATGTGAGGAGGGGGATTCAACAGGAACCTAATGAAGAGAAGCTGATACTGGCGAAATATGCTCTTTCTTTGTAGTCCTCATAAGTAGTGTAGCTGCAGCATTTTGCATTAAAATGTTTACATGATGTTTACAGTTTTACATTCTTGCCTACAGTTGGGCAAGATGATTGATGCTGAAAACTACTTGAGAACCTTTTAAATGTTGGTGTTGTACCTTACAGTGATATCAACATGAAGCCATGGAGATGCTGCTGAAGTGCATAACATCCACTGTAACTCACATGTTGGAGTTTTATACTCAGCAGCCAGTTTTTACTTTGGTTGACTATAACTTTGTGTCCTGTTAGAACAAACTTGCCATGTGGTCATACGTGTGACCCTTGGTTCAGCCAGTTCTTTGCTTTAAGGTCTTCTTTGCTGTCCTTCTTTCTCCACAGCCACTGTCCTCAGAGGAAAACTGCCACAGCACCCACTCCAGTCAGTCTGACAGCCAGTATGGGTCACCCCCTAGAGGCTGGTCTGAAGAGCTGGATGAACATGGACACACCCTCTATGTGTCTGAATACACACAGGAGAAGGTGGAATCTGATTTTGATTGTGCTTAAAAGAGTTCGGGTGACCTCACCTGTCACCCTTAGCGACTGCACTTCCATCAGATGCTTTTTCTTTATTTGCAGCTGACCAGTGTTTATGTTTACAGTGGATAAAACATGTGGACGAACAAGGCCGACCCTACTACTACAGCGCTGATGGCTCCAGGTCAGAGTGGGAATTGCCTAAGGTAAGATTACATGATGAACTTGGTTGTCCGTGTGCTTTGTCTTCGCTCTTTACATCAGACATCCACCACTTAATGCAGGTTCCTTCCTGTGACAATGACAAGTCTTGTCGTATTACATCACCTGGCACCACTGCACTGTAACACACTTTGCCTCATCCTAGCAGTGTTGAGACCAGTCCTGTTGTTGTAAGTGGATGAAGTTCTGAGAGCTCACGGAAGAGCCAAGTTTACGTTGAACTCTAAGTGACTGGCTATTAGTGGCACTTTACCACCTAATCTGGAGGCTTTAGAGGCGATCAGAATAGACCGCTTCGTTTGCAGAGTGAGTAAACAGTGGTCCAGTGCACACGCAGGTACAGTCAGTGGACTTTACTGTAAACAATGCCTGCTGTGTAAGGAAAGTTCCTCTGTCCAATGATCCTGTGGACAGTAAAAGGAGAGGTAGGGAAAGGGAATCTGAAGTCTGTTAGAAAAACATCTGGACTGTAAACATCACCACTTGTCTCTGTCGTTGCAGTACAACATCTCCCCTCAGCCTGGCGAGGTTCCTAAGAGTCGCAGCCTGGAGAGAAAGCAGCCGGAGCCCATTGTCCTCACTAAGTGGAGGCACAGCACTTATGTCTTAGACCTCAATGACAAGGTAGGACAGAGACCACCACTAATGTGGAGTTAAACAGTGTTAGGCTGATGGAAAAAGGCTCTGCTGTGTTGTTCATGCTGTGTTTTGTGTGCACTTTGAGTTCAGCATATGGAAGGGTGGTGAATAATTCTGTGTGTGAAAAGAAGAGAGCAGGTTGTTGTGAAAATTAATGATGGCCAAAAAAATGGATTAACAAGTTTGCTTTTTCTGGGGACGACTTCATGGTGTGTGTAGCCAGCATATCTCTGTGAGGACAGTGGACACCTGCTCGTCATGTTGTGTGTGATTCAATCTTGTGACATGTAAAACGGGCCAGAGCCACAAAGTACAGCTCACAAACCCACACGCTGACACTTGAATGTCCCTGAATTCCTTTTAACAATGCAACATCTGTTACCATCTGGGTCAGTTATCAGTCTCGCTTGTGTCTTTGTTTGTGAGAGTGCTTTTTTGTTTTTGTCTCTTGTGAGAACAAAAATGTTTGCTTCTGTAACGGTTTTTTG